TGGGCTGGGCCCTCCGACATCACTCAACAATTAAGAAGGTGCCCCACGGACATGGCCACAGGCCAGTCCAATGAAGGAAATTCCCCAATTGAGGCTCCCTCAACCCAGGTGTGTCAAGTTGACAGTAAAGCTATCTAGCACAATGTCCAGAGGCTCATTATTTGTGTAATGCCCAGCTTCTCCGTGGAGCTAACCTGCTCAGACCCCTCAGGTGTTCCCTGTCACTTCCCCCGGCCAATGGGCGAGGCAAGTGAGCTTTATACTGCCTGCTACTCTTTGGCAGGAGGCCCTGACCTAAGAAGGCTGGAGGACAAGGAGAAATTGAGCTCTGATGGAAGAGAAAAATGGCCTGTTTCTCCTGGCACACCCTGTGTTCATGGGAAGAAGAGAAAGTGGAGAAGATGGAAAGAATAGGGACTGGAGAGATGGCTCAGTGGCTAAGAGCACTTGCTGCACAATCATGAGGACCTCAGTTTGGATCCCAGCACCCATGCAACAAGCTGGGCATGGTCTTGCACACGAGCCCATAACCCTCGTCCTGTGGGAGGCAGAGACAAGAAGTTCACTGGGACTTTCTGAGTGCCAGGCTAGCTGGAAAAAAATAAGCTCTAGGCTCCAGGAGAGACCCTGCCTCTAAGGAATAAGCTGGGGAGTGATGGAAGAGGACATCCCTCCTCTAGCTTCTGTGCACACCCTCGGATACACACACCCTATGCGGCAGGCACAGTAACTAGCAAACCCTTTTCTTGATTATTTGACTTTATCCTCATGACACAATGAGGACGTTAAGTCAAAGGCCAAACAACCTGTTTTGGAGCTGGACCTGGCTATGCAATCCCAAGCCTATGTTCTTCAAAAAGGTGCTGAAGGAAAAGAAAGGAGAGGAGAAACAGGTGTTCTGCAGTGGTCCAAGGCTGTGCTACATGGAGAAAACAGAATTAAACGCTCAGGAGAAAAGTCAATTCTGTCTTGTCTCCTTAGTCACATCTTTGGCTTTCCCAATGTGGGCCCCACAGTGTAGTCAGCTCTCCAATCTGCAGCTCCTCGTCTGTGGATTCCTTATCTGTAAATTCTACAGTCTTAGATTCAGCCAATTGTGGATGGAAAATATTCTAAGATTCACATACAACTGAACATGCACAGCTTTTGATGTGTGGTAGTGGTGGGATTTAAGACAGGGGTCTTTGTGGGAATATGCATCCTGGACTGGTCTTGAACTTATGATCCTCCTGCTTCAGCCTCCAGAATGCTGGGATTATAGATGCACACCACTATGCAAGGCATGCACAACCTTTTTCTTGTCATCATTCCCTGAAGAATAAAGTCTAAAGCCAGGTATGGTGGCACATACATGTAATCCCAGTACTTTGGAAGGGGAGACAGGAGGCCAGGAGTTCAAAGTCATTCTCAGCATCATAACAAGTTTGAGGCCAGCCTGGGCTTCAGGAGATGCTGTTTCAAAACAACAGCAGCAAGCCGGGCATGGTGGTGCATGCCTTTAATCCCAGCACTTGGGAGGCAGAGGCAGGCGGATCTCATGTAGTTCAAGGCCACCCTGGTCTACATGGTGAGTTCCAGGCCAGCTAGGGCTACAGAGAGACCCTGTCTCAAAAAGACAAAAATAAATAAATAATAAATAAATATATAAAAACAGGAACAAAAACAAAAGCCACAGCAACAGAGTCTTAACTATTGAAAATAGTTCAGATACAGATATACATAAATGATACATTATTCATAGTTATAAATATAGTACATTGGATTAGGTATAAGTAATTTAGAAGAATCATAGAGATGATTTAAAGGGTGTAAAAGAATTTGTGTAGGTTATATGCAAATACTACACCTTTTTTTTTGTTTTGTTTTTGAGACAGGGTCTCCCTGTGGTGGGGGCTGGCCTGGAACTCACTATGTAGACCAGGCTGCCCTTTAACTCACAGAGATCCACCTGCCTCTGCCTCCCAAGTGCTGGGACTACAGGTGTGTGTGCTACCACACCCGGCACTAAACCATTTTTTAATGAACTTCAGCATTCAAACATTTTGGTATCCTGGGAGTTGATGAAACCATTCCCCTGCAGATGTAGACTTTACCATTTACCCTAGATCTTGTTTTCCAAACTAGAGAGAAGCTGAGGACAGACAGGGAGGGTAAGAGATGTATACATTTGTGTAGCCCCAGCACAGGGCATCCACCTTAGAGGGCTACTATGGGTCACTCTGCTTCCCGGAGTTAAGAGACTCCACAGGGCTTAGGTGGGACCAAGGTACCATCAGTCAGGAACAATGGGAGGCAGCAGACACAGAGCCCCACAGAGAAAGCAGGGAGAGAACAAAGAGTGGGCCCCTGTCATGGCAACAGAGCCAAAGGATAACCTAGCATGGGGAGCAGCATTAGAGTAGCAGAAGTGGGGGAGGGGCACTGGGGACTGAAAGGCCGGCAGGGACAGAACTGGAAGGACCCTGGCATCATTCCTCAGAACCTGATTCACAGGGCAGAGGCAGGAGTATTTTCCTAAGACAGGTTTAGCGCCCAGAATTTTATGATAAAAGTTGTGACTAGGAGTTGTCACTAAGGGGCTTTCAGCCCGGCTCTTTGTCCACCTAAGAGGTGACTAGCTATCTGGAAAGCCACACACTCAAGAATCCTGGGCCCTTTTGTGCATTGGGCTGAGGGAGGCAGCCAGCTGGGCTCTTGGCTCAGGGCTCATTACACTTTGCCAGTTTGCTGCTGCTGCTGCAGACACCCTGTAGCCCTGGGTGTCATTAACCCTCAAGAAGCTAAGTCTTTGATCTTTGTTTAGAAAGTGAGAACTTAGAATGATGCACAAAAATAAATAAATAAACTGAATACTAACACTTTAAAAAATGCTTGCACTTCCCAAATGTCTATTCCAAGTCTACTGTGCTATATTCAAATGGGTGTGGCATGAAGAATTCAGACCAGTTTCGAAAATTTTAGGCCATGAGCAAACCCCTCAGCTATGAAAGAGATGGAGCTTTTTTGCCCTGTGACTTTAAATAAGTCCCATAAATCTCAGGTCCCTGGTCTCTAAAGACCATAAAGACCAATAGACATTATCTGAAGTTCTTTCTTTTTCTTTTTTTGGTCCCACTGGAGATCCTCCTGCCTCAGCCTCCTGAGTGCTTGAATTACAGGCTTGCCTGGCCTGGCCTTCCTCTTTACTGGGCAGTGCTGATTTTTTACTTTGTCTCCTCTAAGCACCCCTTTTGGGTAATTGCAAGAAGTCCCTTTCTCTGCCTTATCCCTTCCTGCTTAAGCTTAAGGCTGTCCTCAGGACAGGTAAACTGTCACTGTCAGGTCAATAAGTTTTCATCTGGCATTCCTCTGCTTGGCCCCCTTTGCTTGCAGCATAAAATTCAAATACTACCCAGGCCTTCTGAATTCTTCTAGGCCTACCTATGACCTATCTCACTCCTTAACTGGTCCCTAAATATCCCGTATTTGTAATTTCCCCTCAGGCCCTAGTCATCCCCTTCCCCCGCTCCCAGATTGCCTTTCCTGTCCTCCAGTTCTCCTTCCACAATTTATTCAACATTCAAGGCCATCAAAAGCTCCAGGGGGACTTCCGCTTATGCCCCAGCCCATCTTCCTGACTCTGGGCTTCTATTTGGAAGTCCTAAAGCCTCCGGCGCGTGTGCCTTGATGGTGTCCCGTGTAAGTGGGGAATGCGGGCACTACAAAGTCACTTCTCTGGGGGCTTTTCCTCACCAGGCTGCCTTCTCTCTGACTTGGGAACCCTTCTACGGAGAGGTGGGTCCCGGGGTCCTTTATGGCCTGTGTCTCATGAGTGTCAGCTCCCTGGAGGCAAATGTAGAACTAACTGCCTGGAGCAGAGGGCAGGGAGTGTGGCAGCCCGTGCCCCGAGGTCTAGGTCCGGGTTTCCAGCCCCTGGCTGAGCGCATCCTGCGAATGAATGGATCCCGGAGAGCCCACGCGCGCGGCCACCATCAGCACAGAAGGGGTTAAGTCACCATCTCCCCAACCCCCGAAAGGCGAGGGGGCGAGTCCGGCAGAAGGTCCTGTTTACCGTGGCTCCCCCTCGGCGGCGGGCCCGGGGAGAGTGGTTACCGTGGCAACCGGCCGGGCGCCCGCCAGCTGCGGATTAGCTCACTGGAGCCGGGTGGGATGGGTCGGGAGGAGGGGGCGCGCGTCACCGCAGCTAGTCGCGGCGCAGCGGAGGAAGAGGCCGGGCGGCGCGGAGGCGGCTGGCTACGGGCCGTGGGAGGGGCGGCCGAGTGCAGGGGAGGCGCCGGGGACCCGGCGGGAGCGCGCGCGGCGGGGACCCCAGGGGCTCGCGGCGACCGGCAGAGGCC